TTCCGGTACCCCATAAGGCAGTGTTTGTACACGCACATGCACACACAGACGGACAAGGTGGAAACAGTACGGACAAGGTGGAAACAGTATGCCCCTTCTGCTTTGCCGGCGGGGCATAATTTAAAAATGTGATATGAGAAAATGATATCAGGGACAAAAAAAAAAAACGCAGCCGATGTGTCTGTATGTGATGGAACATGGTTGGACCACTGAAAAACAAAGCTTTGTGTCAAGGAAAGACCCTGATGCAGGAATTTTGTTTCTATCTCAAATACAAACATTATAAAATAGTTCCCTTGAAGTGACTGGTAGGTTTAAACTCACAATTTCATTTTATAGTTGGAACGTCGAAATGCATATATGTTTTTCATGATGTCTACTAATAGGTTTACTACACCATGGAATATTGCAGTCACTATTTGTTTTTTGACCACCTCTCTCCCACAGATTCTGCTTGATTTTAAGTGATACTGATTAATTTAATGTAAATGCAATTACAATGTACTTCTATTTGAATACGAAATTAGTTGCAAATTTACGAGCACTTTCCAAACTACCCATTCACAAAATGCTTGAACCCAGCTCTGTAGCGCAAGCGATGGGAAGATACGTGCAACACGTACACCCCTATACATTTCCACACAATAACAATTGCTATGCGTAAAGTACTTTGGTTGCTACTGGTAAAGTACTTTGGTTGCGACGGATATTATTCGTTATCCTGCGAGCGCGAGTGGAACACGGAATAATGTAGGCGTTTGCGTCATGCCTAATGGGCGCGAGCGTGATAACGATATTTATCTTCAAGCAAACTTGATGCGCAGTACAGTTGGAACTAGCACGCTTTACACGGACATTCAGCAGTTCAGCATATCAGCAGCAGCTGCAATGGTGCTTGTATCTTGGAACACGCGGAATATGCAGAGTGCGGTATGGACCGTGGCCGTGCGGTATGGTTATATGTAGCATGGCTTGTTGCCATGGATCGACCAATCAGGATCGAGGATTCAAGTTTACTTGAAGATAAAGTACTTTTGACAGTGCACAGCAGGATAGCAAAAGTAGCAAAAGTTAGACTAGCTCTTGGCCAATCAAGATAAAGAATCTGTAGGTGTGGTGTTCTAATTTTCGATACATCAAATATAATTGATACCAGGTTAATGATATCAATTTCTGATAGACGGACCTGGCATTATTAAGCTGAAATCATCAGTCATGTGGTTGCGAAGGGCGATTTCTAAAGGTTACGTAACACTTCATTTTGAATGAAACTACATGTACACACACATGTTCACGTTGGCAGGCGAAATCTTTGAAAAAAATTAATTTCTCCCATTTGGAAGACCGTATCTTCATGCAACTTTCAGGTTTACTTTCCTGACATAATGATCCAAGTACGTGCTAAAAATCGTAGTGATGTGTTCATTACCTTTCGTTGAATTGGAAAAATACGCCTGGCTACGTGCAGTTTTGAAAGTTGGTAGACTAGCATTTGCAATATCTGTCAATCTTTTCAAGACTCACAAATATTAATAAGGTTCCCATTCAATATGGTATGCAGTATAAGTTTGAAGAAGAGCCTCCTTCACGAGTTGTTAACTGATAAATATCATCCTTTTTGCTGGCTGCCATTGGTCAATACCAAGACCCACGCCAAAAAAAAAGCCGAGTGACGCTAATGAATATGCTAATCTACCATCGCCTGGCCAGAATCGATCATGATTACGTCATCAGGTGTCAAATTACAAGTGATTTTAGCTGAAAAAGTGACCAATTACTTTACATATAACTCTTGAATTAAATCATCAATGATGTTTGCATTCTGTTATCGGATAGACCATTAATTGCTAAACATTTTTTGTCGTGTACGTAAGGCTAACAAAAAAGTCTCCGGATTCTGGTATGCGCGCGCGTAGCCGTAGTCATGCGCGTCGGCAAAATGAAAAAGTTTTTTTTCCAATGAAAGATGATGTCTCAAAACCGCAAAACTCACTGGTTTGACTGGAATCCTGCTGCTGCACAATTTTAACGTGTTTTTAGATGGGGTTACGATCGAGAATAAGCTTTAAGTGGCCTCTGTGAATCCCATATATTTGCACTAAGTTTAGTTGGGCACCATTTTCATGCAGTCATCAGCCGACATTTGAAGCCCAAAAAAAACCGGTAAAAAAAAAAAAAAAAAGCCGCGTCGCCGCACCACTTTTTGGGCAAGCTCCATACCATACCAGAAACTGCAGACTTTTTTTTTTTGCCTAAACTCGCTTGACCTTTACTTCCCGGTCTACTGGTTTACTTCCCGGTCTACTGGAAGGTCAAAGTTAGGTGAATTCAAAACGAAGACAGCCTGAAATCAAAACAAAGCACTATTTCTTCCGAACGGTTCACGGGATGATCATAAAACCTAGTGTGAACTTGAACCATGTTATAAAGATGTTATAAACCTTGTTACATCATCATGACGTCATCGGGTATCAAATTACAAGCGATTTGAGAGCACAATTTGACAAAATGGTTTGAGCTATAGCTCTTGAACTATATAGAGTATGGTGTTCATTTCATCTGTTTCTGTTTATTTACATCCATTATTTGACCCCTGTCTCATGAGTTTGTTCCTAGTCCAATTTATGACGTCTGTTATACTTAATGTTGACCTATTGCTTCCAAATACTATGACATCATCTAACCGGAAGTTGGGTGCTATTATTACATACACTTAAAATTAGGGCTGTGCCGAATATTCGAATATTCGGTTATTCGATCGATAATCGAATATTCAAATATTTATTTTCGAATAAGAACATTCGGTGGTGATATGCAATGAAATAAAAAGGTGGAAAAAACTTTTTTTTTAACAACAAAAGTGTATTCTCAAAGTTAAGTTTCAAGTTGCTGCCAAAAAAAACCCATAAAAGTAGCTTGTATATATGCCAAGCAATAATGCCATACATATATTACTTCTGCTTTGGGAGTGCTTGCAGTAAAGCCAACCCATTTTTTTAACGCCGGACTGCAACACCAATCGCAGGAATTTTTCAGTGGGGGGGTGCTGGGGGGGGCTGGAACATTTCATGGGGGGGCGTCATGTAGATCAATGGTAATTTTTTTAGAAACTCAAAATCTCACTGGGGGGAAGACTGGGGGGGCGACAAGGTTTCAAGGGGGGGGGGGCTGTCCCCCCCCCCTCCCATGGCTACGCCACTGGTCACAAAAAACAAGAGTGATGACGTCATCATTCAAAAGGGTGCCCCCTAGCGGCACATATAATAGTGTTTGCTTTCTTTGATTTGAAAACCATCTATTCAAATTTTACAATTTGTGACGTTTTTCAAATTTATGACGTCATGTGACCGGAAGTTACTTTGAGGAGAATTTGAAAAGGATCGTATTTTTAATTAAATTCTATCATTTGATCCCTGTCATATCCTCGTAGTCCAAATAACGATATACATTACAATGTTCACCTTTGGATCTCTAAAGCTGTGGCATCATCAAACCAGAAGTTAGGTGTAATTAATACATAGAATTATATTTTCCGTTTTTTCAAAAGTTTTTTTTTACTTCACAATGAAAACTTTTCCTCAGTATTCACTTACCGTTTTGACTGATGACATCATCAAACCAGAAATAACTTGTTTGCGTACATAGAATGTTTACTGAAATTTATCATAGCGTTAAAGATACATTTTTGTAACAAAATAATTGATTGTACTGGAAGGGAGTTTATTTGGTGATCCTTTGTTCTTACAGTGATGAACATTCATTCCCAACTTAACTGGGCAGTGTATATTGAAAAGGATGTCCGCCCAACCACTCTGTGTTTGTAACTCAACAAACGCGAACCTCTAGTTAAGATTTGAGTCTTTGAAATATCAAATCAGATTTAAATAAGAACAAGAAAAGTAGTGTTAAAAAACACAAATGCCCCGCAACCATGCCTATTTCCATGACATAACACCACTCTATTAACATCAACTTACCTGGGTCACATGGAACATTCATTGACATCGTTATTGTTTTCTTTAGGTTATATATGTAATGTATTGATGCCTATGATCCCATAATGATTTTTTTGGTTTTTTTTTGCTTTTCTGTTAGGAAGTCATTGTATGTGATTTAAGCAAACTGACTGGATATTTTCAATCTTAAGCAAGACATTTCTCAAAGGCAAATCCTTTGAGCATAATCCCTTGAGCATTTACCAGGCCTACATGTACATGGAAATAAGAATTTTTAAACAATCAAAAGAAAATATGGTTATTTGAATAAGCTTGAGTTATCATCATGACATCATTTCTTTGTTTTTTTTTATAATTAAATAGAGAACAGTTGGCCTATGGGGTCCGAAAGTGACTCAAAATCCTAAGAACAACCTACGGAGCTGCATATACATATACATGTATTACGGTTCAAGTCTCAAGTTTTAGTAATACATGTACATGTAATTGTTGAGAAAACTTTTTCTGTTGTTTCAATTAAAAATATGACTGTCCAAGAAAAAAGGGTGAAGAAGCCACATTGATAATACAAAAAAAATATTTAAAAAAATGTATAAACAGTGTGCAGGCCCCCTAATATTTTAGTGAGTGATTACATTTGCACATGTATACTGGTTTGGTAAAAAAAAAAAAAAAAAAAATAAATAAATAAAATCCTATTGTTTTAATCCCAATGACCTTGGCTTTGTCTTATAGGGTCCAAACTTATTCATTTTCTGTAAGCTACACTAGAGTAGAAAGCTACCTTAATTGTATCAAGGTCCAAGACATAAATGGAGATACAATCCAGATATCGCTGTGGAACCAAATGCACACGCACACACGCACACGGACGGACAAGGCGGAAACAGTATGATTCGCCGGCAGGGCATAACAAGAGGAAGTGTCTGACTCTAGACAGATCACAGGGTTTTTGATTTGCAGTTCCTGCATGGATAGAGGGCTTTGAAAATTAGCCTTTAAGTTAATGTCATATGGGCTTAAAAACACAACAATGTTTTGAACAATTGAATAGGCAGTGCTTACCTCATCGGAGGAGTCATGATATGTTGGATGAGATTCCAAGTCAATCATCTTATCCAAATTGTCTCCATCACTAAGCTGTGAGTAGCGGTATGATGCCAAGCTGAAAGGTCAAAACCTTCATGATTTGATTCAACAGCGTGGTAAACTGATTTCTTGGCATATGCAATTACAAATGTGAGTATCAAATTACTCAGCGAATATTTGGTGATCAACAATCTGGACATATTACTAAATTCAGGGTTAATGTTCCTGCCAGTTATACCACAAACTATCGTATCTACATAAGCATTTTTTTTTTGCTTAGCAGTGTTGTGAAATTAGGCCTAGACAGCCAGTCTTTGTCAATCGTGACGTGACAGCCACGTGACGGGCTCTCGACCAATAGAAATGGGTAAACTGTCTTAGGTTTTGAAAATCAACATTAGGTCTGTAAGGTTTTCCATTGCAAAATATGCACGTAGGCATTTATCTGGGGTTTTTTTCTGATGCAAAACCCTGCAATTTTCGGCATTAAGTAGCAGAAATATATCGAACTGCATACCTGAAGTTCTGCTTAACTGCAATCATCTGCCCTTGTTTTCAAGCACATATGAATCCCACAGATAACAAATTGCAGTTTGTTTACATTAAATTACACCAAAACATTTCATAAAGTACACCGGACATATAGTGATAAAAATCTTATCATTTACCTTGGTCTGGTGCAGGGGAGTTTGTTGTGCCTGTACAGCAAGAAAACAAGAATTCCAGAAAAGAAAGCAACTGCCAGCAGAATCATGACAATTGTCCATGTCTTTACCTGATGGCCATCTAACTGCAGAGTGACACATTTCAAATAAACATGCCAAAATTGTTGTACTGTACACTGTCACAAAAGGTGTAGTTATATACAGTCATTATTACAGGGTGATTAAAAAAAAAACGAAACCCAAATGTCGGGACCATTATATTGTTTTAGTGAATTTCTGCATGTAGCCCCTCAAAATCTAGGATACAAAAGCTCAAATCATAGGCTTTCTTTTAGTACAACAATCATTCAAATCACTCATGTACTTTTCAAGTTACCAAATTTTAAGCACAACCACCGTTTTAAAGTTCTGTCCACGGATCACAACAAGGTAAGTGTTCTTTCAGCAAAACAAAAACAAATCACAAAGGGACGTGTGTGAATTGTTTTCGTTTTGCTGAAAGAAGGCACACCTTTTTTTGTGATCCGTGGACAGAACTTTAAAACAGTGGTTGTGTTTAAAATTCCGTAACTTGAAAAGTACATGAGTGATTTGAATGATTCCTGTACTAAAAGAAAGCCTATGAATTGGGCTTTCATATCCTATATTGTGAAAGGTCTACATGCAGAACTTCACTAAAACAATGGTCCCAACATTTGGGTTTTGCTTTTTTTGAAAGAAAAATATCTACATTGGTCTGCAGATGCACTGTTATACAGGTCAGAGTGAAGAGGGAGGAATATTATCGCAAGGTTAAAATCTGGATTTTTCCATTTCACGAGGCGAAGCTGAGTGAACTGGAAAAGTCCAGATTTTACAGAGCAATAATATTCCTTCCATTTCACAATCTAAAGCCACTAGATCCTTGTCATTTGATATATTTGAACTTTTATTTCAATACAAAATTGGTGGAAACTGTATTTGTCTCTTCCAAACCACCCCTTCACAAAAATGTTTGAACCGAACTCTGTAGCGCTGGCTCTTTGGAACAATACGCGCTACACGCAATGTGAACGCCCATACTAGCATGCATTTGCACACAAATACCGCGTCATGGAACAAGAATGATCCTATCTGTTCAATAGTATTTCCCATTCCCTATGGGCGAGTGGGACTTTTTGAGCCCCGGCGTGAATGGGAGTAATAACGAATGTCACGTGATGTAAGTTCTACCAATCAAATGACAGGGATCTGTATGACGGTTATATAATAAAAACTATCATGGACGGACTCTTGGATACAAGTCATAAGGCCCCCAAAAATACTTCTGTTTCCGGTTACCCGACAAACCATAATTTTATGGCACAACCCTAGAGTTTATAATCAGCAAATTAAAAATGAAAGTTTAAAATTCATGTTGTCTTTTCTGTCTTCGTGAAAATGCTGGTCGACTACCTGTTTACGTCAGAAACGCACGGGCAATGCCACACAAAGTGAGACGGGATTTTTGTGTCTGGGTGACAAATCAAATTAGGTTTTGCCCTTCACCGACGTATAAACACTGTATACTCAGCGTGTTACCTCCCGAGTGAAAGTTGGAAAAATGAACCCATGACCTCCTGCTGTATACATGTAGTGCAGATGTCTTACCACTCAACCATTGAGCTAACCGGATTGGTTGGCTGGTTCAAATCGTATGTACATAGCAGCGGGTACCGCATTAACTATTCATGTTGTCTTACATGTATGAGCAACTAATCCTAGCAGGCTATGATCTGATGTGAACTGCCGCATTAATTGTGTCTCTCCCTCCCCTTTTTTTCTCTTTTCAAGTCTCTCTCCCTCTCTATATATTGCAATTTTTTTAATTTTTTTTTACAAGGGAGTCCATTGCCCCCTTGCCCCCCCCCCCCCCCTTTGGCTACGCCTATGGGTTTGATGGTTGATGTAACATGCCATAGTCCGTCGGGGGTGGTTCTGAGATGGCCATTCTTAGTTGCCCTGGGTTGGATGGGGGTCAGGGGGCTACGGTCAAATGTCGAAAATTTTGAGTTTAATTTCGTGAACAAGTGCCGTTTTTGGATTTAAAGTGTTGAGATTGACCTCCTGAAACCAAAAATGCTACGTAAGAATGGAAACAAGTTGGATAAAGTTGCAATAAAATGGTTTAAAAATTACATTTTTATATATTTCATAAGCCTAGATACAAATGTACACGTATCCTGGGTAATAGTGGAGATGCTTAGACCAATTAGTTGTGCCCAAATTCTGGTAAATGCATGCAATTTGGCATGCAGAGCCGAAACAGTATAACAAAAAATCATTTTAAGAGGTGGACCCACCTTGAATCTTGCCGATTCGGGGGCAGAGCTTGATTTAAAAAAAAAAAAGGGAGGGCGCGCAAGGAATAAAAATTCAGAAGAACTGTATTATAAAAGAGGTTGTGGAATGCTGAACATTTTTTTTTTTTTTTTTTAATTGTTATACCGTTTCGGCTCTACATGCCAAATTTCATGCTTTAACCACAATTTGGGAACAAATAATTGGCCTTAGCAGCTTTTTTCTGAAAAGTGCAAACTTCTACAATGAGAAAAACAATGCAATACAGGTGGGGGTGTGCTCCAATAACAATGAATGTGCTTGACTCACTGTGCTAATAACAAACTATGTACATGTATAGTGCTGCAGTGCAGGTTAAAAACAGAACTTGAAGCTAGTGAGTATAACATCCCTCAATGCTGATTTGAACGCACTGAGGGAGGGTAGGCTGGCTGGGTCCAAGGTCAGTCTCGGCAAGTTTGTGGGAAGAATGAGTAGACAACCTGTGTTTCGAAATGGAGCACAAGGAACCCTGAACTGTGACCTCTAGTACTAAATTTGGCCTCAGTGAGGAAGGAACTCCAGTGTATGTCTACCAAGATCTTATAAAGCATCCTTAGATGGCTCTGAAGACATCTGGCCTTGAGTGGACTCCCGTGCAAGTCTTGTAGCATTAATGTTACACTGCAGGTGCGGTCGTAGTTGCCAGTGCTGAACTTGCTCCAGTTTTTTAATATTTTTTTCAGTGTGGGGATCCCAGGTTGGAGCGGCGTACTCAATGATGGGGCGAACATATGTCATGTAGCTAGCCTCTCTGATTCTGCGAGTGCAACAGCTGAAGTTGTGGCTGAGAAAAGCTCACGTGGAATTAGCCTTCTTTGTTACTGCATCAACACCCAAGTATTTGGCAGAGTCAACCTCCTCCAGACTGTGTCCACGGATGTTATATGATGATGGGACTGGTTTCCGCTTGTTTGTGATGCGTACTACCTGACACTTGGTTGGATTGAACTCCATCAGCCATGTACGTTCCTACTTGAACAGTGCATCCAGATCTTGCAATAAGATGATGTCAAGACTCGATGAGATACGTCTGTACAGTGCACAATCATCTGCAAAAAGGCGGGTTGTTGAGCTTTTGACGCAGGAAGGCAGGTCGTTGATGTATATCAAAAAGAGAAGTAGACCTAATACACTCCCTTGGGGCACACCTGATGTAACTGGTACTCTCCCATCAACAATAACCTGTTGTGTACGATTGTGGAGAAAATCTTGGATCCACTGCAAAAAGTGACCTTGGACGCCGTAGTAATCAACCATCTGAAGGAGTCGACGGTGGGAGACCTTATCGAAGGCTTTGGAAATCCAGTAAGAGAAGGTTAATCTGCCCTTTCTCATCAAGCCCTTTAGCTAGGTCAAGGTTGGTCAGAATCAGTTGGGTGTCACATGATCGCCTCTTTCTGAAGCTGTGCCGTGCATCGGATAAGATGTTATGCTGAGTGAGATGGCGAATAACAGCACAATGAAGTATATATATGAGCACATATTAAACTTACATACATGTAGGATTGCTGTCAGCGATATCGGATGGTAGTTTGCAGCCAGTGACTGGTTGCCTTTCTTGAACAAGGGTACAACAAGATCCTTCTTCCATGCTGACGGAACTACTCCCTGATCTATGGAAGCTTAGTGGTTTCAGGTTCTTCAAAAGCTTGATTACCCCAGGGCAACTGACTTGGATATCATCGATGGTAGGGTGAGGGTTGGAACCCAAGTCGGTAGGTCCGCAGAACCTTCGCAGGTGAACACTGAACAGAATTGCTTGTTCTGGATGTTTGCCTTGGTTTTCAGGTCGGCATGCATGAAATTGCCATCCTTCAGAGGAGCTACTCCATTCTGATCGCATCGTTTTATCTTCACCAACCCACCAAGTTTTTTGTTCCTGAAGGGCTCAGAGCAGACGATGGTTATGATATATTGGTTACATAGGCTTGACAACACGTCTGTTGTGACTCTTTCTCTTAGGCGTCTGAAGCGAAGCCAATCCCACTCTTTATTGGTACGCCTGGCTTTCTTGAAAGCATGTGACTTCCTGCGTGACGCTCTTTGATGATGAATTAAACCACGGTTGGTTGAATCTTGTGGTACTGAGCTTTGATGGAACATGCTCCTGCATCGATATTTCCAGACCGTCCTGCTCTTCAGTCGCCAGCTGTTTGATTCGAGTATGTACAGAGCAACTATCAACAATGCTGTCAGCCCACAACTTAGACTCTGCCCTAAAGGTGTCAAAATCAGCACTGTTCCATAAGGCTTTGACCCTCAAGGCCAAGGCCAAGGCTTTGACCCTAAAGCCTCGAGGCCAAGGCCAAGGCTTAACCCTCAAGGCCAAGGCCAAGGCCCTGTTTTATGAAATGACCACTGATATAGAACTAATTATAGTCACATGAGTGACATATCATCACGCAAGGGCGGATCCAGAACACAGTTTGGGGGGGGGGCCAAGAAATTTTGGCCCCCCCCAAAAAAAGTGGGGCAAAAAATTATGGCTTGGGCTTCGGGGCCCGCTTTAAGGGCCCCGAATTTTTTTTGGATTCGAGATGCTCTGTGGTGCGATTTGAGGCAATTTCTGACCATTTTAACCGATGTTTTTTTAGGAAAAGATGGTGGTGTTCTCATTGCCTGCCTTTATTACGACGTCACATGAAAAAAAAATAGTTTCGTTTTTTTTTGGGGGGGGGGCATGGCCCCTTTTGGCCCTTCTGGATCCGCCCTTATCATCACAAATTGCTCGTTACGTAGAACAACATTTCTTTAATTGCAATCAATATGCTCCCATAGGCCTACACCGTTTTATGACTGCATTGTATCTATTAAAGTATAAGTTCAGGTCTTCAATATGGTTTAACTAAACAAAATAATGATTTACTTCTATATTGACACACAATTTTCCCAAGTGTAACAAAAGGGGGATCCAAGAAACTGATTTTGGAAATTTTTATTTGCTTGCCCAACATGGTCAGAAATATCAGCATCATCTAAAACAGATACATGCAAATCTTTAGCACTTATCAGGGAGACATATACAACCAATCAGATCTATTCCATAGTTATATGCAATTAAAGTGATCATCTCATTAGCCCCACAAGTGTACGGAATATTTTTGCAGCAAATCTACTACAATGGTAACAAAATATGATGCTATAAAAGTGGAAGTGTGCCCAACACACAAATCTATAGGGTGCCTCCCTCCTCCATGGTAATACGATTAAAATGGTAACAGCAAAATTTACAACAGATTTATCTGGAAAGTGCAAAAATCTATGGGCCTTGAAGAGTCTTGACTCAAAATTGCAAGGCCCTGAACCCTCAAGGCCAAGGCAAAGGCTTTTGCCCTCAAGCCTCGAGGCCAAGGCCAAGGCCCTAAAATCCAGCCTTAAGGCCAAGGCCCAGCATCAAGGCACTACATCACTGATATCATATGACGAGATGGTTTTCGCCTCTGTGCCTGTACATTTGTGTCAAGAAGAATGATGTCATGATTGTTTAGGCCTGGTGAGCTCTCGCATCTGGTAACATATGATGGGAATTTATTAATATAAGATCGAGTGTGTTGGTTCTACTTGTAGGGAAGTTGACTACTTGATCCAAGCCCACTCTAGCAACAGTGTGCAGAAACAACTCGCTGATAAGATGACGATGCTGGTGACCAGTCACTTGATCAGTTTCCCAGTTATTGTCTCAACACTTTAATCCAAAAATACTGCAAGTGAGACTTGCGCAATCCCCCTGGCATGCTGGCAGTTTTTTGTAAAGCGAGTATCCCTAACCAAAATAGTAGATTTCTATTGTTTTAGCAAAATAATGCTTTGACCTTTGACCTATCGGTCCCAAAATCAATAGGCTTGATAAGGCTACCAAGAACAACCCACAACCAAATTTCAAGTTCATATATTGTAAGTAAAGTATTTTTCAAGTTATCGTGCCGACAAGAGTTAACTTAACCAAAACATAACACACACACAGAAAAAATGCATACGCACACACATGCGCGCACAGTCGTGTTTTACTATACGCCTGAGGACAACCTATTGTGTTTCCCTTTGTCCCTCTAATATAACACTTTCCCATAGACTAAGCACATAACCGTACGATAGAGGACCAGTTTTAACAATAGGCACCGTCGTCCGAGGATCAAAGGCCCCTTTGTGCTCCTTTTGTTGTCTGTCCTCGAGCGTAATACAATACAAGAGCGTTTGTTTATGGTGTAAATCGAGGATTTTCTTTTTTTTCTCTTCCCTTTTCCTTTGTTTGTACTTAAACTTTTTCGCAACAGCTCTCATTGGTTTTGTACACGTTTTCCAACCGATGAGTTGTCCATTTGGTTCCTGACCTCGATTCATATATGATGTTGCACGTGTGTGACCTCGATTTACACCATAAACAAACGCGCATAGACAAACACACAGAAGGAATAGCTGTCGCAATATTCCCCTCCGGCTTGCAGCATGGGGGATAAAAACGGCACTTGTGCGCGACATGCTAATTCAACTCGAAATTGTTGACATTTGATCTTATTCCCCTGAACCCAATCTGACCCAAGGCAACTTGAGAATACCCCCCCCCCCTCCCAATAGGCGTAGCCTGGGGGGGGGGGGGGGGGGTAAGGGGGGTATTCCCCCCCCCCAATATTTTGTAAAGAATGCCCTTTTCCATTCAAATGCCCTTTTTTCATCGAGCTTAAACCCCCCCCCCCAATAATTTGTAAATAGTGCCCTTTTTTATGAAGTGCCCTTTTTTATGAACTAGTGTCCTTTTCAAAAAAGAAGTGGTGCCCTTTATTCTGGCATCTGCCGTTTTGGGTGCCTTTTTTCAGAATTTCGCACATGTATCGCCCTGAAAAGCACCATATATTTGCCCTTTGTGTGCATAAGACGGTACCAGCCCCCCCCCCCCTCCCTATAGAGAACCTATCTCTACTACAACATAGTTATTTCATTCAATACTTGCAAAAAACTTCACAGACTTTTATCAATGCGTATTGAAAAACAAAAATCGATGTCTTACAGTGTAATATCCGTAATGGTCATTTATAGTGCGTATATCTCATTAATTACTTCAGCTACATGACAGGCCTTAGCTACAGTTGTAACAGAGTTTTAGATACTCTATGTGGACATTCCTTTGTTTTCATGTAGTTAAGAAAACTCGGTACAAAAAATAACTTTACTTTAATTGTGAAGACTCTTTCAACCCAAAATTTGCTTATTGATTTCCTTGAATGTTTCTCTTTATTCTGCGACAGGTAACCCTAACCCAAAAATGCCCCTAAACCTGTTTTCCAGAGAGGGCGAAATGTTATGTGGACACAGCTTAGTCCACATAACGTCAACACACCCTGAATTTTGTGGACATCTTTTGTTCACATGCCCACATAGTGACTGTTAGACAAACTCAGACATACATGTTTTGGGTAGTTATGGGGTACCACTATTGTCCACTTGACTTCCCTTCTTTTATTCTCCTTTGTTCCCATTGAAATCTCAAACTCCATAGCATTTTACGTATGGGGTACTGAGATTTCTAAAGACCGACTTGCAGGGTACCATTGTCCCTATTGTTGCTCTTTGTTCCCGGTACCCCATAAGTCAGTATACGTATAAACCCAACCACCCACGGAAGGACAAGGCGGAAACAGTACGCCCCTTGGGCTTCGCCGCGGGCATAAAAAAAAAAGGCGTGAAACCACAACTTGCCAGCTTTGCCTGTTTGATCTGACTGCTGGTGACTAGCCATTGTTAAAAGTAAAGCAGGGGAAGTGGAAGTGAATTTTGATCGTCTGTGACTGTTTAGACAGCAGGAGGACTAATTAAGGTAAGGTTTTATCACTTTTGAGGGTGGTTTTGATTGCTTTTGTTGTGCAAATGAAAATAATTCAAACCAACAATATGCATATGATTAAATACTCCATTCAATCTGCACATAAACAAAATTGCAAAAATATCAAAATAAAAAGATTTTCCGACTGACTGATCCTATTTTTGAAAGTCATGTAATTGGAAGCAGAAGTAATTTTTGGTTGTTCTTGGCCTCATCACTAGCAGACTATGAAACACCACTATGAAATGATGTAATCTACCATGTAAAGCTCAAATCATTTAAAGACAAGACCATTTAAAGGACGTCTTGACGGACAAGGAGGTGAAGATGGCAACACGGGTCCGGATGTTGGAGGCAATGGTGCGCAGCAGACTAGTCTATGCAGTGCAAACCGAACGACTCCAAGCCTCCGTACAAGACAAGCTTGACAGCCTGTGGGTGAATTTCTGCAGGAAGCTAGTCAAAGGCGGGTTCAGCAAGAAGAAGAACATGGACGGTGAGGACACCGACGTGTACAAGTAAAATGCTGGCGAAATACTGAAAATCTGCCGGACATCCCGAGCGAGCGAGTTCTGTCTAAAACAGCACGTCAAGTACATGGCGCACATTCTCGCATGCCCAACTCGAGCGGGCAAAAACAGTGGCTGTTCACCAAGGCTGAGCATAAAAACAAAAAATCTGACTGATTTATGTATCTGTAACATAAGAATCAAAGACTGTCTTTATTTATACTTTCTAAGGCTTGTGATGTTATTTCTAAATAGTTTAAAATGAATTGAGACCGTTTTGCCATGACACTAAACTTTGGTTATTCTCACCTGCTCCACAGACAAGTTAGACTCCAGACCACTTGTGCACTGCTGCTGAAGTGTGTCCATGCTTCTGACTGGCTGAAAACCATTTACGCACATATCTCCAGGAATTTTACGATATCTATAGAGAGCCGAAATTGAAAAATGTGTTTTGCATGTGATTCAACTTCACCTTAACTTCCAGCCATTAAGAGGATGTTCCAACACTCATTTCCACATTCCATGATTGTTATGATTGTTACATACATGTACATACACATACACGGGAAATACCCGGTACACTAATAGTATACATGGGAGTGTAGAAATACATGTAATAGTTAAAGAGGTTGTGGAATGCTCGAAGACATTTCCGTCATTTTTCGGGTATATGTAGCCTAAGGTGTGATGAAATAAAAACAACTATTGTTTCTGTCATGAAATGAGTACAAAAGGTACTTTTGAGAGCTGTTTTTCAGGTCCAGTTTCGACCCGAACGTGCAACTGTGTAAAAGTCGTCGTTGCGGGCAGCAAACAAAACACAGTAAATCGTGACGTAATAAACAGGACTCGTGTATGCTACTGTGCATCGGGAGTCCTGTTTATTACGTCACGATTTACTGTGTTTTGTTTGCTGCCCGCAACGACGACTTTTACACAGTTGCACGTTCTTTATTATAATAAAATAAGGCCGCGGTAAGTCAAGCGATACCATTTGGAGTACTGTTATTCGAGTACGAGTACTTTGATGATCGAGTATAATTTCGACATGTCGAGTACGAGTACTTTGCTGCCCGAGTACCAGTACCGTCGTTACGAGTATGAGTACTTTGACATTGAAGTATGAGTACTCTAAAAAAAAATTATACGAGTACCGAGTACGAGTACTACAACAATGCTTACCACGTGTACAGAGTGAGTTTAAAAAAAAAATGTCCCTTTGGAAAATTTGTTGTCTCCCACAAAGGAAGAAAGCTTACCAGCTTTTCTCTTCAGCCAACATTCGATCTGAGTATTGACCACATTCAGTACAAATGTCACTAATATTCATCCATGCATGCAAAGGATACAGACCTTTCTTTGCAACTACCCAAAAACACTAACAACACAATGTTTCTCAATATTTTAAGGGGGTATTCAACGTTAATGCCACAACCAAGAACCAGACTTGTATTCGAGTCACTAAACATCGAGTCCAAGTCCGAATCCGAGTCACATTTCTTGAGTCCAAGTCCGAGTCCCGAGTCCTCCAGGTCGAGTCCCAGTCCGAGTCACGAGTCACAAAGGTCGAGTCCAAGTCCCGAGTCACGAGTCACCTCTTTGTATCGAAAAACATACATTTTAGGGAATTCAGAGATTCAGAGTCACCTTTGATATAGTATTGGAAAAACATACATTTTAGGTGCTGTAAATTTCCATTTTTCCCCACAGCTTTTCTCTAATTTTCTCTGGAAATGAGGAGTTCATTCGCAAAAACAGTTATAAAGGCAATTCAGACAAAACTGGTATTGGACTAACTTTTGCATTTAAAGTTCAGGCGTTTCAAATATCTTTTTTTAGACTTCTATGAAAGGTGGCGATTGAAGTTTGACGTAGTGCCGGTTTTCTCCTCTATTTCCTCTTGCAGAACTTGCATTCTGCACCTGATCTTCCATTGGCATTTCTCTTGAAGTTAAGATACCCAAAATTGACAATTTTTGGAGTGGATGCTATCATGATCTACGTACATTGCAACTTGCATGTAACGTTACCGAAACTGGCAGATCAGCAGACTAATCATATCGCGTTATCGCGATGCGACAGCAATACACGAGTGAACGACAGGACGTCTGCCAAGAAAAGTCTGGTACCTTACCCTATCAATCTTGCACCAATGCAGTATTGCGTGCGGACGGCGGGGTACAAGTTTCGGTACATTGATTTCTTTAATCAATAGATCGGTAACCGGCCACGGCCACACACGCACCGTATCGAGCGCCCTGTACATGTATTGCACAGTAAAGAAAACGATCGACTTACGTATGTGTGCGTGTGCAGTGCGGTAATTTCCATCGAGTCACAAGTCAGTTCGAGTCCGTAGCCCCGAGTCCGAGTCCGAGTCGTAAGTCAAAGTGACTCGAGTGCGAGTCCAAGTCATTAAAAATGTGACTCGAGTCTGACTCGAGTCCGAGTCTGAGTCACGAGTCATAAGTCTGCCAAGAACCTGAATAAGATGCGCCAAGATCTCAAAATCTAATATCCCCCTTCAATTTTTTTTCTTTGGGGCACCTCAAGGACCGGGTGTACTGCATTGTGCCAAACACCCTGCAGGACTTTCACCAGGATTACTTGTGAAATCCAAGCCCTCACAAGAACACGGATGGTCCGCAGAGCTATTGCAGACATGAGGACATGGGCACAACTACGCATTGATCTGAATGACAGACAGGTGGAGGGTCGAGAAGCAACAAAGTGAAAATAACCGTATCTGTCATTCACTTTCAAGTTCAATAAATGTAATTCTATTTAATTGATGTCTTGTTCTGCTATTCCTATAATTTCCTTCATTGTCCTCAGGCCCATTGTTGCCATCGTGTTCACAGCAAAAGGCATATTCTGAACATCGTGTTGGTATGGTTTGGGGTAGTCACAAAGAAAGGCCTGTATGGATACATCCTTTTCATGCATGGATGAATATCAGTGAAACTTTTACTGACTTATGGTTAATACCCAGACCGAATGATGACTGAGAAGAAAAATAACAGTGTTGCTGTTGAAACCCCTCAACAGGAGTGAAGTTATCATCTGGAAACCATTAACCTTTAATTTACTACTGTGACTTTGACCTTTGACCTTTTGACCCCCAAATCAATAGTAACCTTTCCCATTTTTGTGGGAGACAACAAATTATCCAAAGTGACATTATTTTTTACCCACCTTGTACATTGTATGCACATGGACTTACCAGTATTCTACTTGTAATATACTTCAGAGTGCAATAACGTGACTGACATTACCTTAAGCTAAAAGACCGAGACTGACATTACACGTGACTGCAAACTCGTCCCCAGAGTGCTGAGCAGTACGCACCCACCACTACCTGTTCTCTCACCCTGGTATTGGATCATTTGCATGTGCAAGATTTTTGAACACGTATGCAAATGAGGAATAGTCTGGTGCATGCCTAGTGTGTGACATTTGTGTTTGTTTTTGTATGCGATGTCTGAGGTAAAAACAGAATCAATTTGTCGCAGCGCGAGCATGGCATGAGTTACGAAAATACAATTTTACATTAATTAAACTGTTACGATCTTAACGAGACAACATGCAGTATCACATTTTATATTAATAAAAACAAACTGGAAAGGAAATGAATATTTTCGATAAGGCGTGGACGAATGATCGCGAAAACACGTACTGCACGTTGTTAATAACAACACCAAGTATACGATATAAATCCAGTTCTAGCCAATTGCGGTATCGAATCAGGATGCTGGAAGAAAGTTTCCTATCCAGGGCTATTGGAAACGAGGTTGGAAATAACGTAAGCACTGGGGATGAGGTTGACGTGACTGACATTTTTGTTATAATTATTTCAATATTTCACAGCTCTAAACCACAAAACTTATAAACAACGATCAATGTCACACGGTGTTACTACTTCCCAGAACTCAAGTTAAGACTCTTTTTTATAGATTTACTTAACTGGTCAGAATGTTGGTATTTCCAAAAAGAAAAAGAAGTACCTTTTTGTGATTGAAATCATAGTATTTTTTGTTTCTCATTTACAATCAAAGGCAATGAAATAAAAATGATAACTGAAAAATGCTACACATGTTCATAAAAACATTCCCCCAAAACAAAAATTGAAATAAACTAGAAGTATGTCTGTTTGATGGACAGAACATAGGGCTTTACAGCATTATGATTTTTGTTTGTGCTTTTTTGGTAATGTGCAGTCATATAAATAATAAATTTTATGTGTCACCTCATGAAATTATTCTTACCACTGCACTCATACACATCCATTATTGAACATCAGCTATAAAGTTTCATTCATGCAGTGATGGGATCACAGAATAAAATGAAGGTTAAACAGATGAAGCTGGTTTTATTGTATAACTTACCCCCAAGTATTGATCTTCTCCTCGTTTCCATTAATGCAGATGTCCAGGTGTGAGGGGTCAACATCCGCACTCACTTTGCATTCTTTACTTTCACCTTTGCGGCTAAACCCAAAGTCACTGAAGAATATAAAAAAAGTGAAAACATATCAATTTCAAAGTGTGGTTACAAGTAATAAGGGATGAACAAATAACAAGGGCAACTTTGTAACGTCACTTTAAGTGACTTGAATTTGGACTAGAAGCATTGTAATGGACCTGTGAGGAATTGTGAATCTGCAGCATAAACATAATAAGAAGTAAATGACATGCTAGGTTATGTGTTTGTATGGACTCCAAATTAAAGTTATGTTCGCAGAAAGCTTTTTTAAACTGCAAAATAGTGACTCATATTGATAATGTTGACACCACCCCCCCCCCCCCCCGGAAGTGTGTGCCGATTCTACTAGCGAATACTTACCTGTAGAGCATTACCACATGATTAGGATGCTATCCATTCTCTATCATTTTCCTACATTATTTAGCGGCCTGTCCACCATTTCACTCCCTCTTTTCTTGAGAGTACAAGTGCTTGAGAGTTGGGAGGCAGGTGGGCGCTCCATGGGTAAGTACTTGCAAGTAGAATGGGGGAGGGGGATTCTACTGCACTTGTCTTACCCATAGAGCACTACTTCATATAGGTAGGTGGGTTCAAGCATACAACATAAAGTGTACAAGCTGGTCAGCGGGCTGCACGGGAGTGTAATCCCTATGAATAAACACCCATCAGAACGAAACCAGGAAATCGGCACTCACCAAAGAGGACAGGCCTTTACTGTTTGGTACTGGGGGGCACCAGCGGTGTACAAACTGAGTCTGGTAATGCTGCTGGGATGCTAAGTCGAGGGGCTGCATGGTCTGTTTGCTCTGGAAGTAGCAGGTTGTGTACATGCTGGTGGATGTCACCATGTGGCTTGCTAGATGTCCGTTAGTGGCACATCCTTGCAAAAGGCCCATCAAAAAGCTACACTCTGGACTTTTTGGGCATGTACCTTGTTCCTGGGGTACAGGCCAATCTATGAATACAAGCACATGGCAGACGCAGCCCAATAGGCGATAGTGTTGCGAGATGCTAGATGGTGCGGCAGAACTTCATTTAATCTCGGTCTGATAGTCGCCGCCAAATTACGTACCAGCTATGGGTACAGACCCAAGGTCTTTCATCCGAAATTGATGAGAGAAGCTTGAAGTTGGGTATCAAGATGTCAAAAATCATTGATGAGCTGTTTTCTGTGGGAGGGGAGGCATGGGGCTGGAACATACATGGCCTGGCTCCAAAGAACTTTAATGAGGATGGGTTTCGCTGAGTTCGCTCTGCAGCAAGCCATGGCTACTATCAAGAGGAAGGTCATCACCAAGGAGATAGTCAGGATAGCAGCCTCATTAAGGGTCTCGAAGGGGCCCGAGTTAGTGTAAAACCTGCCCAAGGACCCCTAACATAAGAAGGGTGAGTTGGGGTATAAAACCATGCCCGGATGAAATGTGCATGGACACCTGATCGCAGAGAAAGCTGCCATACATGTTTAAATTGCCATATTTGCCCAGAAACAGCTCTGAATCGATCTGCCTTGATCTTCCTGGACACTCAGAAGAGATGGGAGATATGGGAAAAGGGGGCAAACAGCTGGTCTATAGTAGAGGGTCGGTTTGCCATGCCTGAGACTTGGAAAAACAGGAGCTGAAATAGAAGCTAACCGTCGTTCTCTTTTGAGAAGTACCATGTTGCAAAGCAGAGGCCAGGAAATGGGCTCACCCTGGAGATTCATGTAAGAGGCCGCCATTTTGTTGTATCCTCCCAGACGGTACCCTCATTCAGGGTACAGGCAGACATGTTGCAAACTCGGTGCCAGGCAGGAGACCAGATTGGACCGAAGGAGAAAGGGGCCAGAAATAGAGCTGGAGCGGACATAAGTAAAGGCAGCATATTGGAATCAAGTTTAAAATGATTACCAATAAGCAAGTGAACAATAGCCACATGGGGACATTACAGCAGGTGTGTCAGCAGAAGAAAGAGCAATGGCTGGCATCTGCCTTTTCGCTCCAGTAAAGGTGTTGTCCCATAGCAATGGTGCCTGAATGTCATCTCTTGTCAAAACACTCGATTTCTCCCTAGAGAGCCCGGTGCTTGTTTTAGTCAGTGGGTGGTCTGGGAGCATCCATTAACTGGAACCATGACTGAGGTTAAGTTATCAATGGTCAGAGGATAGCCAGGGTTAAGACCAAGTAAAATGGGTCAAAGAGCCCCATAAGTTGAGGGTAGAGGCCTGGAGCCTTTGGGATATAGTGACTGCTACAAGCCAGCCTATGGTTGGAAGCAGCAGCGTAATCCAAAGTTGGATGGAACTTCAAGGACTGGTGGAGTCTGACAGCCTGACAACCAGTACTTCATCTGCCATGCCCATTAAGAAAAGGGATTTTTTTCTGTCTCGTCTGCCAAATTAGTGATGGACTAAGGCATTCTAACACAGACTTAAGTTGCTGAGGACACAGCTAATCAAATGAGAGTGTGAGCAATCATCCATGATGGATCCTGGGGTTGGGTTACACTGGTCTGGTGATTGTGACAATCCTTAAGTTGAGAGAAACTGTGGAAGGGTCATCATGGACACTGAACACTGAACAGCCAAAGAATCTAAAGCAGAGATGAAACTGGCATAGGGGAAAAATCAGGGAAACAGGCCTAACAAAATTACGTGTCCGAAATCTGGGCTGTAATACACATACACAATTGTATGTACAATACACTTCAGGCCCAATTTCCGGACACCGACTCCCGTTTTAATTTGATCCAAAGGAAAATTTTTGATAAAAAGATGGTCAGTGTTTTCATAAAATCAAACGGCCTGATCTACTGTTAGTGTTATTTTGTAATGGACTCATCAACAAAGAAGTTCACTTCTTACTTGAGAAAGGCAAGGAAAAAGCCCGAAAGACAAGGGCACCTTTCATGACAACAATTCAATCATGTCCATGATTCAACCACACAACTCCGTATAGTACGTGTGAAAAAAATTGGGCATTATCGTCTTTTTCTTCAAACAAATGCCAGTGAAATGTTTCACTATTGCTTTCTTCGCCATCCTCAGGACAATCATTGAGATTTTTAAAGCATTGCATTTTATACAACTAAATCTGAAACCTTCGAAAATTGCACATGTTGGATTTTATCCTCTGGATCGTTCATCATGTTCATGAGCAGATGAGCTTACCCGTAACCGACCGGCCATGTGCTAGTGGGCGGCACGGTAGGTACGTTGGTAGGTACCGTTGCATATCATCGTATGCAGCTGTACTGTGCTACACGCATGCTTCATACACTGTATTTCCGTGTGATGCAATGATTTTTCCATATCATGTGTTAGCCTAGGTGTTGCTACCGTAGAAGCACTCCATTAGCCTCAGGTGAAAGCAATTAAAACTAAGCTCTGGATAATTTTTACGTGCCGTTTTCATTGACTTTTCAGTGATTTTTGGGGAAATTATAGTTGAAAAAATATTTTGTGGGAGGAATCGTAAAAAAAATCTGACTTTTCATTGGAAAAGTCAAAAAGTCTGATTACCGATTAAAATCTGAAAAGTTTCATCTCTGCTAAAGGAAAAGTTGCAGCATGAGGTAAGTTAGTCTTGGTAAAACGCGGGTAAGTGCTGATGCAGGTATTTCAGATGACAGACCTGGGTCAGGGTGAGAAATCATTAATGAAGACTGAAAGAGCCCAAGCTTTCACTAGCCCGGAGTAATGCTGGGCCTTGGCCAGACAGAACAGTAGAAGAATGCTTGCATTTCTGTGGATTGGGGGCAAGCTAGGCTGCAGAGTGGGAGCCCCAGTCTGGCCATGAACACTCAGAGTATGTCCGGAGTTGTAATAAAGTCCAGGCAGTTGAGGCACCAAAGATTGACAGCGGGCAAGCTAGGTACATGGTCACAGCTGGCCTGCTGTCAAGCTTTTTTTAGTTAGGGCGAGTATTGAAAGCACTTTGAGCTTTGGCTCAGCATTTCGCTTTTGGGCGTATCGGCTTCGATAACGCATCCATATAGAATACAAACGCAGATATGCCAATAGCCATACAAAAGCCGTACAAAATTTCGAGTTTTCCATAGGTTTGTGCACAACATGGATGCGCCCAGCAGGCATCACTTTGTATATCGAGTCAGCGCTCTAGCAATTTAATATAGCTCTGTGCCGGTAACAAAACTCTATCTACAGTCGAATCTCGTTAGCACAAACTCTGTTAATACAAAATTCTGGTTATAACAAACATAAAGCCTTGGTCCCGACTGTGCATTTATGTGCACAATGAATAGGACTGATGTTCCTCTTAATACTAAATTCTGATATAACAAACAATTTGGCTAGGTCCGAACAAGTTTGTATTAACGAGACTCGACTGTACCTTCAAGCATGGATGATCTTGCAGCACTCAATGTGCCATTTGTGTACGTGTCCCCCCCCCCCAACAAAATGACCTTGGCTAATACTAGGCTAAGCGTCTAGTAGATGAATAGGGCATGAGGGCTTTACATAGAGGGCGAAGTGTCACTCTGTTGGCCAAGGTAGCACTGGGAGTGAGGGACTTGCCTAGTGTCACTCCGTTTAAGAGGCAGTAAAACAAAATCTCACACCAATAACGTTCAAAAGGAAGGCTGGAAGGAATCTAAGAAATGACTACAAGCCATAGTGTACAGGAATGGCTGATGAAAGAAGTAAAAAATCGAACAGAAATTGGAGCTCTGAAATACACGTCTTTCACAAAGCGTGCTAAGAGAAAGAGGAAGTGAAATGGCCAGCGGGCGGGCCGCAAGGTACCGTGGGAACATAAATCTTAGTGAATGATAAGTGCCCTCAAGAGAATAATGCATGTAGCAGTGCTCTACAGGTAAGAACAGCACAGTACAAACCTGATTTACACCAGCATAATTCCTCTAGACATGATTATTATAGATAAGGCTTTTCTATGTTATTAACATTTTCTGCTTTATTAAATTGCAGATTGTTATCTTAATCACTTAGAGATCATCATAGCTTATCAAGTGACTCTGAGTTTATGGTGTGTAATTGGTTGGTTTTGATTGTGAACACCAGTCATTTAGTTACCTTGTTTTCAGATGTCCGAGCTTATAGTTTTTGAAACTTCTCACACCACAAGTGAGACCGCGGCAGCCACAATAACAAAGTCAGTGATTTCGTTCCACAAAAGTAAGTCTAAGTTACATTGATCATCATGTCATTGTCAATTAGTCATAAATCCTGCAATAAGAGTCACACAAGTCGAACGTCACTGACAGCTGCTGAGGAGTTCAGCCAATCTATAAACAGGAGTGGCAAATGTCTGTAATATCTGTGTGTATATTGTAGACTGTGATTGCACGAGAAAAGACGGTTAAACAATATATTGAGTCATACCAGAAATGAGCCCCAGTCTATGGCCAGTCAATAGACTCGAGGAGCTTAGTCTAATGACTGGACATAACAGCCAAAAACAGCTGTTTTTCCATGTAACACACACTTTTTTTTCTCGAAAACTCGTAGAAATGCCCATCATATATAGCTGATAATTCACTTACCACTCATAGTCATCTTTAGTACAGGAACATGGATTAGATTGTTTGGCTTTAGGCTCATGGGCATAATTCAGTCGGCACAGGGAATCAGGTTTCACTCTTTCAAATGTTTCATTTAACCCCAGAAGACAGCCTCTCCTTTCATTTGACAGATGTGGAACCCATTCATCAAAATCTTTTTCTGTGCCTGTAAGAGCAAAAAGAAGTCGTTAATATACAGAGATATTGCACAAATATTTGCAGAGATAACACCTGAAAGACAGACACCAATTGAAACGACAGAAATGATTGAGTATCCTCAAAAAAAGAAAAAAGCAAAGAAAACGGATTTGTTTCAAACTAAAAAAAAAAAAAAAATCAGAGCCAACTGCTAAGTATTTTGATGTGTGTCCCATTGCTCTCGGGTAGGTGTGCCACATCTCATTTCATTTTATGTTGGTCATAGTTGCATTTATGGACCAATCTTTGGTAAATAACTACAATGATGAAACATTTATTGTGGTATCGGGCAGAGGAAATACTAGCTGGGATGAGTCGTTGAATTTGTATTATTCACAGGTTTAAAAAAATTGTCAGTGGAAAAAAATTAAGAGGTAAATAAATTTAAAAAAAACTGGGGAAAATTGGCCAGGGGGCGACTTGATACAATCATTGGACCAGACAAACATTTTCTTCATCGTCCTTGTCCGATAAATCCCCCTAAATATCCAAGTTATTCATTATCCCCCAAGCACATCAGCTACAGAGTGCCTGCCTTTGCAATTAGCACCTGCTTTTGAAAACCGATGTGGGAAAATCAAAAATTTGGAGTGAAAACTTGACAGATTTTTCAAGGAACTTTCATCATGTAACTATCATATGAGCATTTTCACAACGACTGGCTTTGGCTTCGTCTTACGTAGATTTTAGACCCTCAACTTCTGGAACTCCAGCTACATTTTGGTGCCTGTTATGTTTCAGGAACATTCAATCGGTTGATATGAAGCCAAAAGTTGGAATATTCCCATTTGGTTCGCCTCTCAGTGATTTTGAAGTCAGAAGAAAAGCAGAAGCCAAAGCAAAGGTTTCGAAAACCCCCTATAATGTTGCTGTGAATCATGATCAGTGCGCCTTCAATTGATGTGCATATTCATATCGTACAAATTTCTACGCGTACGATCGACCGTTATTTATATATACTAATGTATTACTTTGACCTCAATTTGCATGTTGACGATACTTTTCGGAGTGTTTTCATAGTGATAATGTTGTAATATTCAACTATTTAAAGCCCAGAAGAAACACACTTGCCAAAAAAGCAAAACAAAACAAACAAATCATTTTTTTTCACATGCCAACCGTGACTTCAAAGGACAGTGAAATTAGAGCTTATATACAACCATATGGAGCTATAAGATATAACCAAGCCACTCTCCATTAACTCTTTCAGTGCCAAAGTCGTACATGTACGAGGTATATTTGTTAGTTCGAAATCGCCAACCTCATACATGTACGAGGCAATGTTCGTATTTAAAAATTGCCAAACCTCGTACACGTACAATGTACGAGGTAGAGTAAGGGGGCTCTTGCTTTTTCTAATAATATCATTTTCATTCAGTTACGACCTGTATTTATTTGTTTCATTCGAGTTCTTGCGAGAGGGCGCAGCACTGACACTCGTATTTTCTGCAAAAAGTGCGGAATTCCCCTGTGTGCAAGACAGTGTTTCAGGGTGTATCACTGTGTATGTGACTACTATTGACTTTCCAATATACCAAGGATATACCAGAGAGCAACAACAAATTTAGTGAGTAGAACTTACTTTTTACTTTACTTTTTTTTTTTACAGAATTTTGAACAATTAACAAAAATGCTCTAAGTTGGGCACTTTAGGGTTAAACTTTTCAAATTTCGCGGGCACTGAAAGAGTTAACCCTTGCATTTTGTGTTACCGCACACTTTTAGGTCTTTTGCAACAAAAAAGTGACACACACATCAGACAGACAGACTTCAGACAGTCAGCGTACAATTTTTTAATACAGGATTCAAAACTACAAGCATCACAACCTCAAATGCGGTATCAAATTAAAAGGGACAAAACCTTTCATTTGAGTAATGTGGCAATGATTTGGAATATGCTTATGTTATTTTTCCCAAAAAAACTGGGGGTTTTGGTTAAAATTAAGGATTTAGTATTACCATGTTATTGTTATTAATGTTTAGATGCACATTTCCCACTCAATTTTACATCACAAACAAAGCATGACCATCATTGGTAATACTCCCCCCCCCCCCCCCCTTGATATGAGCAGTGAAAACAAACCTTTATTCAATTGGTCTACTTGTTTTATTCAAATTCAGAACAAAATGTGTGTTTCATTGGTATTCTTCACGTCTACCTACACTCATCTTTAAGTACAGCACTGAAGTCAATGGTCACAATCCTCCATCTTCTGTCCTCTGATCCGAATCCCCAAATGCTAACATTAAGAGAGTTGGTGCTTGGCTCTGGCAATAATCCTGTAATGCTGAATGGTTCATCACAGAACTTATATTCATTCCAACAGTGACCCTCGTCATAAGAAAACCTGTGCATTAAAAAGACGCAAATTCATCATTGCTATTAGAGAATGCCAAATTGTTATAAGCATATCTGCATGGCACTTAAAGCTATAGTCCATCATTTGCTGCTATCCGAAAAGTAACTGGCGTAATTATTGTTAAAAAACATACTTGGTTGAAAGATAGTAAGGGGACTAAACTCCCTGTGAAATTATTCTTTCTGGCAAGCTGTCATTTGAAGTAATCAACGATAGAAGGCCTTTCCAATGGTGCTTCTTAAGACACACCGTAGAAAATTTAAATTAGTAGTTTGTTTTGTTATTCGGCAAAGCGCGCTTAAGTATTGGCCCAACGCACACGCGCGGTTGGTTGCTATAATTCGTCGGATCAGTGCACGACATCGCGTAGCTGCAATCGGCTCAGTGAGAACGTGTCTCGGACGCTGAATTCAGGCCCAATTCAAAACATGATTCAGCAACTTTTGATTTGAAATTGAGATCCTAGAATGCTGTTTTTCTCGGAATATACAGCTGAAGCTGAGCTGAAACTTCATCAGGTTAGTTGTTCAGTACCCTTCTTTAGACTTTGAGCACTCTTGTTGCTTCAAACGAACAAAATGCACAAATTTCTATATCTTTAAAAACGACATCATCATGAGAAGAGTATCTTTACTTAGTTACTAATTGGCAGATATATTGCAAGCCTTTACGAAGCAACTTGTTAGGTGGTTTCAACAAGCTTAGGCAAAAAAAAATTAAAAATAGCTGGTCTCTGGTCAGACCAAAGTTCCGGAATTGATGCGGCGATGCATTTTCTTTTTTTGGGGGGGGGATCTTTTTTTCTTTAAGCTTGGATTTTACAGACAAGGTGGGTACAAGTTTGCTTTTTTGTGCCCTCATATACCTTAATGCCCTCCATCATTTGCCTTTGTGCCCTTCCCCATTCCTTGGTGCCCCTCGTTTGCCTACAGGTAGGCTCCCTCCTCGTTTGCCTCGGTACCCGTTTCCTTCACATTTTCCGTACAGCCAAGGCAACTCTTTATGACTCTGGACTTTGCCTCCAAAACATTTTAAAAACAAGCCCTGCTACATTTTCAGAACAACAGAACCTGTTTTTAAACAAAACTTTGAGGCGCAATAGAGGGCACTGTAGTAGCTACTGCAGAAAATTTGAAATAAAAAAACCACTGATGCGCATGATCAAAATCGACGCGCGCGCTGACCAGAGACCAACTCTTTTTTTTCCCTTTTTTTTGGGCCTTATGGTTCTTTTTTTTCCGACTGAAGGAAACAAAACTTGAGGTTTTGCAAATGCAATTTACAGAACAGACCAAGTCTCACTATGCAGCTGTTAGGAATTTTAAATTTAGGTTTGTAAGAAGATGAAAGTAATTCTTACTTGATAGTATTGGTGACATCCTGTTCGGCAGATATAGCCAGCAAAAGACCACCATGGTTTGTTACAGTGTAGTGATGGGGGCCAGATAATGCTTTTGTCCAGTTGTAACCACCATCATTTGAAATGAAAACATCAGGAGGATGTGTCTCCAAAGCATCGGCGACATTTCCTATTTGTTGAAAAAGTGAATTCATTGTTACCTGAAGTACAAAGGATACTCAATTTCTTTTTAATTGTGTAGCTTAACTGAATACTTTAGTTTGACTGAACAACTGCTAGTTAAAAAAGTAATAACAATAATTATTACCAGCAATGGGTCATTAGGGAGACTTTCCCATAGACTTATTCAAACTTAAAAGTGCCCTAACCTAATATTCCCTTGTCCTTTTTCCACGAATTTCGGTACGTTTACTAATTAGACCACGAGCAACAAATGTAACCTAATTGTGTCAGGAAATGTGGCCTCTAAAGGGGAGGCTGTGCCATTAGGGAGACAGATATGTGTCTCCCTAATGACCGGTGTTTCCTCACTATCGAAGAAATTATGATAACGTGTCTCCCTTATGGTGTATCTCCAATGTGTAGGATGTATGGAGAGAAAGAGGAGGCTTTATTTCATTTAGTTTGCGAAAGCAGCAAGATGGCACAGACGGAATACAAGGAGAGGCACAACAAGTTAGCCAGGGTGATCCACTGGGATGTTTGCCAAAAACGGAGGATCAAGGTCAAGGACAAGCGGTGGGAGCACGTTCCGGAGGTGGTTCTGGAAACTGAGGAGGTGAAGGTTCTCTGGGATTTCAACAGTCAGACTGACCATGTTGTAGAGCATAGGTGGCCGGATGTTGTTGTCCTAGATCATGTAGATAAGAATGCGAAGATGTGCCACGTTATAGATGTGGCAGTGCCTGGTGATGCCCGGGTTGCAAAGAAAGAAAAGGAGAAGGTATTAAATTAAAGTACCAGGATTTGTTGGCCAGGAAACTACGCAAGTTGTGGAGGGTCAAGGTGAAGGTCATTCCAGTCATTGTGGGGGCCCTGGGTACCATTCCCAAGTCCCTGGAGAAACATCTCGACGAGATCGGCTCGACCGTGAAGGTGAAATTGCTGCAGAAGGCGGCTCTTCTTGGAACTGCAAGAATCCTACAGAAGACGCTCGAGCTCTAAGGCTGTGGGACGCAGCTTGAGTCGAGTTGATCCAACGCGGACAAGCATAAGATCTCTCATCTCGTTTTGGGTATTGCAAATAATAATAATAATAATAATAGGCATTTATAGAGTGCAAACATATCCACCGTAAGGTGCTCAAGGCCCTATACACATACAAGCAAAACAACAGCAAAAATAAGAAAACAAAATCAACATGCATCAAATCTAATCATAATTCAACGGGTGATTGATAATTTTGTGGCATAAGGAAGAAGGAGGTGAGCTATACAGTTTTGAATAATATTGTGAGCAGTTCAACTTGTTGAATAATTACACAGAAAGTTTGAAGTTATCTTTTCTTGTTTTTCTGTTTTTTTTATTTTTTCTTGTTCGGCATGTCAATTATTCTGTTACAGATAATTAAACCTTGACAGTCACCATTTCTTGAGAATTAAACCTTGAAAATGAAAAAAATATGGAAAAATCAGCCATTGCGTCCAAATGTCCAAGGTGTCAGCTCGTTGGGCCCCGAAGCTCCTTGAACCTGATCAGAAACGGACTCGGCACAACCTTTCAAGGGACAGTGTTGCCATTTTTTAGTTTGTTTGGTTTAATTCTAAGGAACCAGTGACTATCAAGGTTTAATTATCCGTAACAGAAAAACAAGAACAGATAATAACTTCAAACTTTCTCTGTAATCAACTTGCACACTATAGTATAATCATCGCCCTCTACCTTAGGCCACGAACTTATCGATCACCCCTTGTAGCTCTTAATTTGCCAGATAAGGGGGAAGAGGCATATAAGCAGCAATGCATGACAGTGCATCTACATGTATGTGCCATGCTCAAGCATTAGTTGTTCGAGAGCAGAGAAACCGATAGCTAATTGTTGTTTGCCTACATGAACAGATCTCTATGTGATAGGACAATCAGTGTGAATAACACCTGCACTATGTTGGGCCAAGGTGTCTATTCTGTCGGGATGATGTTCCCTCAAGTTAAAGCTGGCTCTGGAAAATATGTTGCTCTGAGTGTGACTCTGTTCTGGATACACCATTGGAACGATCTCCATGATAAGAGTTGGGCTGACCCAGTGCCTCCCTTGCAATTTATATACAACACTCATCATTGTCATGTCCCAAGTCTGGATTCAGACCTTGAGTGACCACCGGAAAATCCAAGTCAGTCCTGATGTCGAGCGGGCGCGTGTGTCACGCCGCTATTTCCTCACACAGTCCAGCGGGCAGCGGTGTCACTAATGCGGAGATTGAGACCGGTGACCTTGGGAGAAAATACCTCACGATCCCATAGTACGGCGCATATAGCAGTGTGAAATGCCCACCAGGAACGCCGTAGAAAACTCAGAAAATATGACCATGTATGGAGCTGAAAACTTGTGTCTCACCCGAAAAATGTGTGTGACCATATAGCTGTAGTAGCGTTGCTAAAACATGATGACTGTGCCGGTGTTGTTATTGCTAAAATGTGATGACTTTGGTGTTGGTGGTGCCCTGCCTCTGTGACCAGGCGTGGATGATCGTATAACCAACTCTGACCCATAGGTGTCGTACGCCAGACCCCCGCTGTCCTGCAAGCACATGTGGTCGTGAGGTGTGCAAGCATTCAAGTGACATCCGAATCCTTTGCTTGTATGTGCTCTCGTAGGCTATCAGACATGTGCGAGATTTCCTGGGGAGCAGACCTAGCACTGCTTCGAAGGCACTGCTCCCGAGGTATTTCGGAATGTCAAACCTCAGGAATTAGACCCGGTTTGCTGTGATAGAAATATTACGCTTGGAAAGCTGGAAGAGGTGTACTCAATGAATCATACAGCTTGACCTTGACAGCTTTTTTGGGTTTTTTTTGGTACATCCGCCATTGTTGTAAGCACTGAGAAATATGGCTTTTATAGCACAATACAGAACAAGCCCACAACAAACCGGCATCGACCCTGTACCGTCATGTTTGCTGGGTACTTGGCCTACCGTTATGTGTTCTCGGGGAGGACTACATCAGTGCAAGGGGAAGGTGGCACCAATGAAGAAGCTTCAGTAGAACACCAAGTTCCACAAAGCTTTCAAGCAAATCACATTTGCAATATCAGCACATTTGCAATATCAACAATTATATAGTCATATGCAAGTGTTCTTTCAAATTCATTGTGCTTCATGTAGTGATCGTATATCGTGAACTGTGTTACAGGCAGATCGGCGTGACAGGTGACCCCAGAGGTGACCCCGGCGTGGAGGGTGACCCCAGAGGTGCAGGAGCAGTTGGAGGCCTTCACCCGTGCCATGTATGGTCAAGCGCGTGAGACTGCATATGCGAATGTGGTGAGGAGCAAGCTGCTCAGGGAGAGGACCACTAGCTTAACTGCAAGAGGAAGGTTGACATGGTACGCCTGCCATCCAGCATAACTAACTCATCCCTCATGTGCAGTGCGTCAACCACCGTGTGGCCGGCTACAGGCGTGCTGCTGACCCTAATTTTGAGGCTCCCAAAACGTATGATGAGGGTCAAAGGTGGCTGAAGACAGTTGAGGGGGTACTGGAGCCTGTCTGGTCAATTGGCCCTATCTTGCTCCCATCACTCGTTGATCCGTTGGACACTGATGCTGCTGAAAATGAAGAGGGCCAGCAAAAGAGCGAAGTGGAAAGTGGTATCCTAAAGAGGCTATCGAGATTGACGAAGATTATGTTTTCATTGATGACGAAGATTTCCCTAAGACTTCGCCACAACGTCACTTGTTATAAATAGCTCAGTAATCTTTCTGTAATGACCGGTTCAGGAATTACTTAAGTAATAAATGTTCATCAATTGCAACAAGGTCTTTGCGCTAAGTTGTAGTTATTTCTCCCATCCTATGACCTTGAAGATGACCTTAACACAATGATGAAGACCTCAAATTGACACATCCTATGACCTCGAAGATGATGACTAACCATAATGTTGACATAGAATTGTCTTTGGGTTAAAAAAAAAAAATCCTGACCAATAAGCTTTTATTACCATATCAATGGGAGTTGGACAAAAATATTGTATGTCGGAAAGTCAAAACAATGAAGTTGTCTATTAATAAAATGCCCTTGACCCTTGTCCTTTGAGCAAGAAAATGACCTCTGATTACTTCTAAACCACTATCAATCAATTCCATGACCCTAAAAAAAATAAACATAACGTTAAGCTTTTTATCCACTGGCTCTATTTTAAGATTTCCATAATATTGGGTCAATATCCCAAACTTAGGGGGTGGGGTCAAATATTGAGTCAAGGCTCCAAAATAAAATGCCACATCTTTTGTAATTAAATGGATTTGGTAGTTGGGATAATGTGGAAAATTTGTGAAGCAATAAGTAGGCCTCTATCACCATATCTATGGGAGCTAGGTAAAAAATAATGCAAGTGGGAAAATGAATATGACACTTTTTTTACCAAAATGACCTTGACTTTCGCCTGAATTGCATGGCCTTGACCTCCAACCAGTTTGAAAACCTCGAAAATTGATTCAGCACCCCAGAAATGTATAATTTTGACACCAGGATCATCAAAATCGGCTCATTAGTTATTGACATATGACACTTAGCGTTTTTAATTATTTGCACAGCAGCCATCTTGGAAATATGAAAATAGGGCATCATGGGACATTTTCTATCGCTGGCAACATCAAAATCCTTTTATTAGATGTCCTAGGGTTTCTAAAAATCATCTTGGAATTTTATTTTAGGGGGGTGCATGGGAACTCATTTCTCCTGCCTTACTAGTACTGGTATGTAAAGATAGGCATCTTTTGGCGACCAATGGGTTTAATGGGACTAATAGTCGGTAACGTTTTCATTGTGGAAGGCACTGTCGGCACTAAAATCAATCCGATTGACTTTATACTCGGCACACACTTAGACCAGCACCTAAAGATGTGTGCCAAACATTGACATCATCATGACGTAATCGCGTGACCCCTGATGTCACAATATAGGTGCATATTTTGAAGGCCAATATCTCCATAACAACACGTCCGATTGGG